TGTCAATTGGTATACCAATTCCTGGGGCCTTATTTTTTGCTATTTCCTTCAAATCAGCTTGAACTTCTTCCTTCATCACCATAGGCTGTTGCTCATATGTTGTTTCATTAAATTCTTCTGTGTCTGCCAATTCCTTTCGATCTTCTTTTGATACCTCCTGGATCGTTTAATTCTCTGACTAAATCATCCTTGATTATAGCAACTCGAGGTTTGAATTTGTTTTTCAGTTTCTTGAGCTTAAGAAATGCTGAGCGAGTTCGACCCTTTTGGTTTTCTGACTCCAGCTCCTTGCACATTTCATTGTAATATTTTACTTTGTCTTTCTGCATTGCCTTTTGAAATCTTCTGTTCACCTCTTTAGTATCTTGAATTCTTCCTTGTGCTTTGGCTTCTCTGTGCTCAGTGCAATATTTAGAGTTTCTTCTGACATCCATTTTGGTCTTTTCTTCCTCTTCTGTCTTTGTAATGAACTTTTGCACTTTTCTTGGATGATACCCTTGATATCCTCCCACAACTCATCGGGTTTTCACTCATTCATGTTCAAGGCCTCAAACCTGTTCTTGAAATGGTTCTGCAATTCAGATGGGATAGACTCAAAGTTATATTTTGGTTCCTGTGGATACGGTTTAATTTTCCTCGCTTCAGCTTGAATTTGCCTATGAGTCGTTGGTGGTCTGTTCCACAATCAGCTCCGGGCCTAATTTTCACAGATGATATTGAGCTTCTCCAGAGGTCCCTTCTGCAGATGTATTTGATCTGATTCCTATGCATACAATCAGTTGAGATCCATGTCTATAACCTGCGTTTATGTCTGTTAAAAACTGTGTTTACGATGAATAAGTCATTGATTGTGCAAAATTCAATCATTCTATCTCCAGCTCCATTTCTGTCTCTGAGTCCATGCTTTCCGACTATTGATTCTTCTTCTCTGTTCTCAACTTTTGCATTCCAGTCACCCATTATTATCAATACATCTTGATTACATTTTCAATCGATCTCCGACTGTAAAAAGTTGGTAGAAATCTTCTATTTCCTCTCCTTTGGCTCTGGTTGTTGGTGTATATATCTGAATGATAGTGGTTTTCACTGGACTTCCTTGTATGCATATGGATATTATCCTGACTTTTCTCAGTATGAAAGCAACCCCATTTTTTCATCACCTTTTCATCTCCGGAGTAGTATACCATATGATCATTCGATTCAAAATGCCCCATGCTGGTCTATCCCATCTCACCAATGCCTAGTATGTCATATTTATGCATTCCATTTCCTCCTTAACAATATCTAATTTTCCTACATTCGTGGTCCTCACATTCCATGTTCCAATCACTAATGTCTGCTTAAAACTGTTCCTCTTTCTTTGTATTTCCATACTCAGTTGCCCTTTCTGTCATTCTACGTGTGTTCTGTTGCACATAGGGTTTTTAGATGCCTGCTATTTTGGAAGTGGATGGCCAATCCTTCTTCCTAGTGTGTCTTAATCTGAATGTTCAGATTTAGAGACATTTGATCGTGCTACTGCCAAAATTATATTTGAACCAAGACACAGTCATCAGAACAGAGCAAGGAAACACTGCATGGTACAAAATTGGGAAGGTCGTACACCAGGGATGTGTCCTGTCTCCATACCTTTTCAACTTGTATTCAGAACAGATCATCCGGGAGGCTGGACTCTATGAGGAGAAATGCAGCATAAGGATTGGTGTAAGATCTATAAATAATCTGCGTTATGCAGATGACACAACACTGCTTGCTGAAACTGAGGAGGACCTGAAGCGCTTGCTGCTGAGGGTCAGGGACTGCAGCCTACAATATGGATTGAGGATCAATGTCAAGAAGACAAAGATTCTCACCACTGGACCAATTGGTAGCATCAGGATGGATGGTGAAGAGACTGAGATTGTTCACAGCCTTAGTACTTTTGGCTCCACAATCAACACTCTTACCACCAGCAGCCAGGAAATTAGAAGACATATTCCAATGGGAAAGACTGCTGTTAGGGACCTCTCCAAAGTACTGAAGAGCAAAGGTGTGTCTCTGGAGACTAAGGTGCATGTGGTATAGGCTATTGACTTTGCAATCACTTGTTATGCATCAGAGAGCTGGACAATGTCCAGGGAGGATAGAAGGAGAATTGATGTTTTTGAGATTTGGTGTTGGAGAAGAGTGTTGAGCATACCATGTACTCCTAAGAAAAGAAACAGATTCATCCTGGAGAGGGTTAAACTGGGCTGCTCCTTGGAGGCAAGGATTTTGAGGCTACTTCTGACATACTTGGGTCATGTTTTAAGAAGAGACCGGTTCTTGGAGGAGGACATCATGCTTGGGAGGGTTGAGGGCAGGCACAGGAGAGGAAGGTCCTCTGGGAGGTGGATTGATTCGGTGACTGGAGCAATTGGGATGAGTGTGTCGGAGACAATGAGATTGGCACAGGACAGAGCAGAGTTTAGAGCTGTTGTACATAGGGTCACTATGAGTTGCAAGCGACTCGACAGCACATAACAACAACAACAACAACAACTTTATAGGGTAGGTAGAGTTTCCAAGGCTATAATCTACAGGAGCATATCTTTCTTCCTGAGTCACTGGTGACTTCAAAGTACCAAGCTTTTGGTTAATAAAAGGTTTAACTGTTGCACTACCAGGGCTCCTCTCCAAAAGCTTAACACGTTGTAATCAGTTTTAAATTTATTCACCTCCATCAAGCAAGAAAAGACACATAACTGACCCTCCATTGGGTTTCTGAGGTGGTAAGTCACAAGGGAAGAGAGTGCCCATTTTTCTCCCTTGGAGCTGCTGGTGGACTCTAACCTCCAGAGAGGCTGCCTGTAGTTCACTAGCACTGTTCCCTATGTACCATCAGATTAGATATTTATTTGTTGTTGTTGTTGTTGTTGTTGTTAAGTGCCGTCGAGTCGCAGGCGACTCATAGTGACCCTATGAAGGAGAGTCCTAGACGCTTGGGTGCCTTTCATCCTCTCTCCAGGTTCATAGGGTTTCCGGAGGCAAGCTATTATGGAAGTGGATGCCACTCCTCCTTCCACGCTTGTTT